CCACGATATCGAAAGAAAAATTGTGCGAACGAAAGCTAGTCACTCACTTTCGTATCAAAATGCGTTCCACTAACATTCGTTCATGCTTTCGCATAGCCTTACGTGACTTAGTGTTGCCAAATATACCTTTGAAAAAATTAACCGCGAAATTAAACAAAAAAGCGCCAAAATGACAGATTTAAACGCGAAAAGCTGTAAAACATGCAACCATATGTCAGCTGGTTCTGTCTGAACTGACAGTTCAATTGTAAACAAGCAAATTGTAAATAATAAAAAAACATAATAACATTTCGAGTTTCCCAGTTATTGTGTTCACTTTATTTATTTATTCAAAAAATTAAAAAATGAATATTTCTGTGCCCTATATTTTATGGATGATGTGGAGGAGCCTGCTGCTTCCAAATATTGGCACTCCTCTGACGAACGCAGGATTCTTTTCCATATAATCAACTAGTACCCGCAGCTGTGGAGTAGACGACAGCAATCACATAAGTGACTGATTATGTCATTTAACAAAGATAGTGGAACGCAAAATTACACTAAAATGCTTAAGTTTTCATTCGCTGATGTTCGTACAAATTTTCGTTCTGTTTCGTTCGTTCGGAAATCGGCTGTTTGTCGTGTAATAGGTGTGCGAACGAGTTCTTTTGATATCGTGGAACAGGCTGATACATTTCACAATGAAGGGACATACTATAAAAAATTGTACTCGTATGATAGCATGATATTATCTTTGTAAACATGCAATGATTTTACAATTGTTTTTTTTTTTTTTTTTTTTGGTAAAATGTTCAAAAGTAGAAGAAAGTGGATTTCACATTCGCAGTTCGCATTCCTTCTAAATGCTTTGGCAACTATATGACGTTTACACAACTCAAAGATTTTGCAAATACAACTCTGATTTTTGACATTATCATGGTAAAATCAAGATGTAAACATGAATGTAACCCGGTAACTAGTCTAGTCCTCTAGCCATTCATTTCAATTTCCATTGATTTTGAAAAAACTGTTATCATTTGACTCAAATCGTTTTATTTCATAAATCATCTTTTGCAGTCATATTTGTGCATACGAAGATAAGCTGCTGTTTTATGTAAAAGTTTAACGTTTTATTATTTTTTTTATTACTTTTTACTGTTACTCGGCGATAGATATCAAGTTCTTCAATTGTTGTTTACAATGTTTACTCTGCTGGCAGTGCAGAAAGAATGAAAGATATCGCGTGCCGGCAAAACGTGCTCGTCCAATTACCCGAACAAATGAGCGAATGAATAAATGATTAATTTATTCATTGCGGTCATATTTACAGAATTTTAATAAAATGTTTTGTCTTTATTGGAGAAAAAAAATCCACAGAATCAATTGATTCTGATGCAAAAATGAAAATTGAGTGGACGAATTTCAATTGAAAGAAATGGAAATTTGGCGCCGGGGAAAATACTAGGTAATCAGTGTTGGTAGGCGAGTAGAATTGTTGCAGCTTAGGGTGGGAATACATAAAGTGCATATTTGGCTGGCTTAAGTCAGCGGCTAGCTTCTTCGTAGAGGAACAAAGGAGTTTTAGGTTGACTTAGGTCGATTTTGGCCCTAGGCTCCTTTGTTCATTTCCTAAGATATAATAAGCGCTTTATGTATTCCCACCTTAAGAAATACCGTTTTGAAAAGCTTTATCCTAACAAGGTATTAGGTATGTTATAACAAGGCAGACAAGGAAGGGAATTATTGCGAAGAAACCAAAAAAACTGAAGATAAACAATAAATCGGAAAGCAAAACATATGTTATTAGTTATCTTTTTCTTGGAAGCCTGGAATTCTTATCACGAACAACACAAGGAACATCAGCCAATAGTAGCTGCAGTTAACAAATTTAGAAAGAACGAAAAGAACAAATACTCTTAGCTTTGGTTCTCTTCCTTTCTTATTATGGTGATAAATTGTTTGTTTCTGGGTCTTCATCTAAAACGGAAATTAATATTGTTTACTAGATAGTGCATATAAAAAACAACATGATTACGAGCAGAAAATGGGATCCCATAAATGAGAATAATGCTAAAAACAATAAATAACCACATGTAGGCATTTCTTTTGAGAATTTTTGGAGCACAATAAAATTAATTACATAGCTGTATTCATATTTAGTTTCCTGTTGTGGAATACCAAAACAGGTAATCTCCAATTTGTTGTTGAATCACTTCAAAAGCAAAAGAGACTAAAAATATGAACCACTTTAAAGTGTTTTTAATGACAGTTTTAATTTTTTTCTTTGGATGAGAAATAGTATTTTCACAGCCGGTGGATGAGATTAATGATTGCGGCCTGCCTGCCTGTAAATGAGTAATGCCAGAAAAAAAGAAGAACCGAAACAAAATCTTAAAGCAATAAGTTCATATGTACAAAGGAGGGGGTTATTGACCGTTATTAATGACAAGAATTAATAACAGTTAAAACAAGGCCAACAAAAAACCGTTATTATTATTATTGTTTTCAAACTTTTGAAGGTATGAACTATGAAAATTACTGGAAATGTGAGTTGCTGGAAGAAAGGTCAATGAAGTCAATCTCTTTTAATATTGTCAGGTGGGTCTGTCAAGATTAAAACGTTTGGTTATTAAAAAAAAAAATTGTCGTCGTATTCCCTCAAGTTTAGTTACGATATTATCAAACGTAATGGGTTTTACATATGTGCTGTCACTTTTTATATCCATATGTATTTCCGTGTGCATTTTTGCTATTTCCTTTAATAACATTGGGATTATATTATGTTTTTATGAAATCATCAAACTTTATGGATGACTTTTACAGCAAATTTAATTTTATATATTTTCACACAACAAACAGACAACATTTTTGATTAAATTGTATTTGTCCGGTGAAAATAGGGCTCGATGTGATCGAAAAAGTACAGATGTCTTTTTCTCATGTATACCTCAATTGTAATGTCATCAATGTATCACGCGATATGTGTAACTTATACATATGTAAAAAATGGTATGTCTGTGGCTAGCCACTCCGCATGGAGAACACTTTGCAATTGATACAAATTCCGATTTCCACTGTCTTTGTTTCACTTATCAATATATTTAACAGATTTTTTCTCTTGATAAGGACCGTGTTTTCACGGTCCCTTCTGGTATCTTAAAAGAAATCTCATTTTTCTAAAAGCTACGCTCTTTAATCAGCAGTTGAACATGTCATCCGAATACAAATAACAAGTTACGGTTGCTCGGAGAAAATCAGCAGTTATCTGATACATGAATGTTTTTTACATATGTAATATTAAATTTTATTTATGTAGGAGTTGCACATATCGTGTGATACATGGACGACATTTCTGTTGTAAAATACACCTAAGTCTGTTTTTACACGGTCTTTTTGTACACGGTTTTGATATAACACGGTTTGAAAATTGAATTTTTTTAATTTTTTTACACGATTTTATTCCATTTAGCACGATTTGAAATTTTATGTACTTAATTTTTTTTGTCAAATTTAATTTTTGCGAAGTATGTTCATATCACAAAAAAGTATTTATGAAAGAAAAAAGTCTGAAACCATCGATAGAATCAATAGTTTGCGAACACTAGCTTAAAGATTTAAGTGAATTCCCCTTTAGCGCGTACAAACATTTTTTACTGGTCAAAGCAAATGTGAATAGCACAAGCATTATATATTTGATTTAATAAAATAGACATGAATTCTTGTTCTTAAAAATTCTTGTTTTTCACTAATTTTGATAGGTTTTAGAAATTAGGAACAAATCACCCATTAGGAACAAATCACCCATAAAATCAATGTCTTTTTTATACGGTTTTTTTTTACACGGCTTCTTCTGGAACCAATCTACCGTGTAAAAACAGACTTAGGTGTACGTAAGTAAGGTACATACCATGGTGGAATCAAGAAGGTAAAGTCATACAATCATGTTTACAATTTTATCAAAAATTATTGATTTGTCATCTCATTGCCAAAATTTGTATTTATAAATCCATTGTACATACACAAATCAGAGATAGGAACCTGTTTTTATGTAGTAAAATGTGACAAGGTAAATTACAGAAAATGCATAGATGGGTATGCTTATTTGAAATGACTTTACCTTCCTAATTTTACCATGGTAAAGGAATACAAATAGAAGCATCAACCCTTGGAAGCATTGATATGTTAAAATGAATTATAAAAAATAAGTAGATATTTAGAAGTTTTATTATACGACACCAATCGGAGGCTGTTATGATATGAATTTTTCAAAAGATTTTACAAGTATGAATAATTTTTCATTTAAAATTTTCAATTCCAAGATTGGTTTGACAGTTCATTGTCCCAGAAGCTGAGTCGATGAGACTACATGTATTCTTCTATCATAGTATTTTCGTACTTTTTCGATTGCAGCGAGCCCTATTTTCATCAGACAAATATAATTATAATCACATTTTGGGTCCATACTTAGACTCTGTCATAATTTCTCCTCCACCGGCCATATTTAACATATCAGACTAGCACCCATTCATTTTATGTCCGTATTTTAATGTTATTTAACATTTGACATAAGAATTGAATATTATTTATTCTCTTTTGCCCTTTAAAATTATTCTAAACAGACATTAATCTCCTCTCCGGTCAATTACAAGTCTCCCACTCTGACTCCCCTCCCTCAATTGAAATCCTATCGTTACAAGTCAATTCAGACATCAAATCTGAATATCTTTCGGTCATTAATTATTCTCACATTTTGTCGTCGCAGTAATTTTCAAAGGTGTTACTTCAATTCGCTTGAATTCATTCATTCGACAACAACAAAAACAAACATTAAGTAATTCATTCATTGCTTCAGTTAGCATAACAATTATTGTTGTTATTGTTCTTATTGGGTAATATTAGAGGCATTATTTCAAAAAATTCCAGGTTAATAGAAAATTAAAAAAAACAAAATTTAATAATAATTAAAAAAAAAAACAAACAAAAAATCCCACAACAAATAATAAAAAGAAAAAAATATTCACCTGTTTTTAATGTTCTCTGGTACGAAAATATTCCACCATGAATGGCGTTTTTGCCTTGGAAAATAGGCCGAATGATTGGGATCGACTTCATCATAGCTCATATCGCCTGTGGACGAGCCGATGCCTGTGGTACTATCATTGGTCAAATCACTTTGTGAACCGATTCCCGTACTCTGTTCGAGTGTGGAAAAGCTGACTTCGAAATTCTTGCGACGACGTCTATCTAATTTTGTTTGTAGCGATGTACGTCGGCGACGATTACGCTCTCTGTCGATGGGCGTATCATATGGACTGCTGGTGATGCCAATACCCTTGACAGCTGTGCGAACATTGGTGCCATCATCAAAATATGTTACCTTACCGGGTTCATTTGGCGACGAGGCACGAATGTTCTCTTCCGAGCTGTAAACAATGTCAGGTGATATGGGTGTGTTTGAGCCATCACTTTTTTCATGTTTTACGGCCGATTCATAGGAATCTTTGGATGAATGCTAAAAATTAAAATAAAATAATAAAACGAAAGAAATTAAAAAAAAAAGCAAAATTAAAAGCAAAAATGAGAAATGTGCAATCGGCGCTGCCTACCTTATTACTATCACGTCGAAAGAAAGAAACCGCAATGGAGCTACGTCTCTTCTGACTTTTATCCGATTTACTGGAAAACAAACCCAATGCCAATGAACTCCGTCTGGGCGGCTTTTGTGGTGGCAATGATGGTTCGGTGATATTTATTCCACTTTCGGTTTCGTCGTCAGCATGTTCGTCGATATCGACCAATGATGGTATCGAGACACTGGCCCAATCTTTTTTCAGGCGATATTTTCCACTGTCGATGGCACTCATTTTGTACGGCGGCAATTCACAATACCAGGTTGATACACTTTGTTACGTTTTTTTCGGGTTAAATAAAATCCGTGATTAAATCCGGGTAGTTGAATATTTATTTTTTCGTTAAGTTTTGTAAAATCACAAATCACATAACAAAAAACAAAAAAATAAAACGTCCCAGGCGTTTAAGTTTGCATTAAAAAAACTTAAAAGGTTTTGCTAAAAAAAAGAAAAAACATATAAAGAAAAATTAAAATTTATAAAATAAAAAAAAATAACTTAAGAAAATTATTAACAATTGTGTTTTTTCTACCCTCAAAAAATATTTGTATTTGGAGCCAGAAAAACAACGACGATGCTTTTATAAAAATGTGTTTGCGTCGAGTTGTCAATCATTGAAATTGCCAATAAACAACTATATCTTTAATACAACGTTTACAGTTCACTATATCTAGCAACTCTAGCCAAAACCATTGCATATACATACGTCAAATGTTATGATATGCATTTTCCACCAATTTTTACAAATATGAATAATTTTTCATTCAAAATTTTCAATTCTAAAATTGGTTTGACAGTTCATTGTCCTAGCAGCTGTGTCGATGCGACTACATGCATCAAATAAATCTTCCATAAAGAAGGTTAACCCGGGGAAAAACAAGCTATAAGACCCGGGGAAAAACAAGCTATAAATCTACTCTTAAATGTGAATTCCATAGCCTATATGTCACGTAAATCGTATTCATAAAACCAGTGAATATTATTTGACGCATTCGCTATGGAATTAACATTTAACATCGTGCTGATCTCGCAAACGTAAAGATTTATAAATTAGAAGTAGTCTAAACGGTTTGTTATATTCATACGAATCCAAAAGTTAAAAACTTCAAAAACCGTGTTAAAGTTGCTATCAGACGATAGAGTTTTACATATGTTGTCACTTTTAATATTCATGCGTATTTCTGTGTGTATGTCAAATTTGCCATTTTACATATGACTCAATATTCTTGCATATGGTTTTTTATTTCCTTTGGTTATATTGAGATTATTTCGCATTTTCTATAATAGTATACACTTTTGATTATCTTATATTTTTCGCCGTGATCGAATAAGTACATATGTACTTTACTAATGTATATCTCAACTTAAATGTCGTCCATGTATCATACGATATGTGCATCTTCTCTGTATGGAAAATTTGACATAACATATGAAAAAGTCCTTGTCGTCTGATCGCAGCTTACGGCTCCATAAGACGAAATGGTTTTAGACATGTGCTGTCAATTTTTTTTATCCATGTGTAAATGTGTATGTCAAAATTACCATTTTACATACGTCTTCTACTATTTGTTATAACACACTTGCATATGTTTTTTTATATCCTTTGATTACATTGTTGTTATATTTTATAAATTTGAATGAATTTAAATTTTTAAATTTGAAAGAATTTAAATCTAATTTTATATATTTTCATGCAAACAATTGAAGAATTTTGATTAAATTATATCTTTTCCATTAAAATAGGGCTCGCTGTAACCGAATGAAATGGCGTCCATGTATCACATGATATGCGTAGCATCTACATATGGAAAATTTGACATTACATATGTAACAAACATTCCGTATGATAAAGCCATGGTAGAAGAATATAGGTAGACGCATCGACATAACTGCTGGGACAATGAACTGTCAAACCAATTTTAAAATTGTTGAAAAACGTGAATTATAATAACCTCCGAATGACGTCGTATAAGAAAACATATAAAAGTCTACTTATATTTAAAAAAAAAAACATTTAAATTTTTATGACATATCAATGCTCCCAAGCGTTGATGCATCTACCTGTATTCTTCTACCATGGATAAAGCCTTTACCAGAGTTGCCACACATTTCCCACATTACGATCTTTGTTCAATGCAACCCATCAAAACATTCATGACATTGGTACGTCTTTTATGGAACTATGTTTCTTTATTTTTGTATTTGGATGTCACACGTGTCGATTATTGATTGATTATCGTAAACCTGTGTTCTGGTTCAATAGAATATTTAAATGAAAATCATTCTTAAGATAAGAATACAAAAAACGCCTTTTTGACTGGCTTAAGTCATCGGCTGGCTTCTTCGGAAAAGAACAAAGGAGCGTAGGGTTAAAATCGAGCTAAGTCAACCTAAAACTCCTTTGCTCATCTACGAAGAAGCCAGCCGACGACTTAAGCCAGTCAAAAAAGTCTATTATGTTATGTTCGACATTCAAACACATGTGGCTTTCTTTGTTTATTTCTGCCTGGTCCCGTCTTCGTAGGCCGTTTCATAGTCGTTTTCAGTTTCCTTCTTCATGCAATTATTTAAATCTTTAAAATAGCCATTTCAATCACGGCACACCTTATTGCCATAGTCAATCAAAAATAATTACATACATCTTTGTTGAAAATTCCCCGCTTCTAAAACGCCTTGAGGTTTAATTAAATAATAAGTGGATGTAAATCAATGATTGAATCAACATCTAAATTTCAACGATGATCATTTACATTTGCACACAACCAATCACTAGGCATGCATGGCTTCATGGGGTTCCCTGTCATTCACCCCGAGATAATTTCACTGAGAGTCAAACGAAAACAAAATGTGATCAATGTAAACAATCAATTTTCAAATTCCAACTCTCTTCCCCTCATCCCGCTTTTCACAAATCGATCATTGGCTATTACATTGATTAACATCTTTACAAAAATTTGACACTTGTTGCATGACTAAAGAGTCAACACCCCCTGCAATAGTTTGGCAATAATCATGCCCTCTGTCACCCGCTGACATGACGTTTAACAAATTTACTCTTTCACTAATTGAAGGCGATTAGTAATACCATGTAAAACTAAATAACATTCAGTTGAAGCCGGTACAACAAAACAATAGATAATCAAAGTGAACAAAACAAAAAATCGAAAAAAAAACGAAAAATTGTTTTGAAAATGAAAGTGATAGATAGTTGATGGTGATTTGCCATCAATGACAACGAATTTACAATCGGTAGTTTGTGCTGGCTAGCCATGAATTTACATTGTTTATTCTATCAGAGTTTGACATTAATACGAGTAATTCTGTTAACAGCTGCTGCTGCCGCTGTCGCTACTGTGTATTTGAGTTTTCAAGTACCACTTTTATTTTTTGTGATATATATTTTTGCACGATAATGGGGGTCCGGCTGCCATAGCTAGTGCTCAGTAAGGGTAATTATTTACAATATCCATAGGTATGTACATATGTAGTTGCCTATTGTTTTATTCTAACTTAGATTTTTCCCACAGTCATTTAAGAAACAAAATAAACGCTACAAAATGTTTTTATATTTCATTGTTGCTAATATTTTGAAGTCTGGGGTAACAATTTCACACGTAATGTATTGTGTTATTCTAAAATTAGGTTGCTGCAAAGTGAATATGAAGAGTAGAATTACAGATTATAGCTAATTAAAAGGATCATGTTTTTGAGTGAACCAGTTTATTGAATGGCGTTTTCTTTTTAGTGAAATTCAAATTGGGGTTCCAAAAGTGACTTTTTTAAATCCAATATATAATTGAACCCTTAGGGGTCGATCTCTCCCATACAGCGTTGACTTTGTAATTTAAAAAATCGCCAGTCTCAATTATTACCATTGTAGAACTGAGATGGTAATGTCATGTTATCATATGTTTTAATTTTTTTTTTCAAGTTTATACATTTGACAACATCTCATTGTCAAAATGTATATTCATAAATCCATTGTATACACACAAAATCAGAGATGGGAACTGTTTTTATGCATTTAAATTTGACAAGGTAAGTTACAGAAAATGCAGAGCTGGGAATGCAAATATGAAATGAGGTTACCTTTTTTTAATTGTACCATGATTATTACTTTCAGATATTTAATGTCAGCAGTTCTTTATACTGTCCAATTTCATCAAAAAGCCATAATGTTGGGAAATGAATTGAATACAAAACTCTCAAGACTTGTCTAAGAACTTTTAATTTTATATTTTTTAGATGCCAATTATAAAGTTACCTTTATAAAGTTGCCATATTAGTGGAAGCATTATTAATTGAAAAAAAGAAACTAGTTCCTTCGTTCGATTAAGTGAATTTCTTAAACGAAACTCGAAAAATTAAATGTGTAAGTACATAAGAAGCTTGAAGTCATGGCTAGGCATATTTTGTGACATTTCATAAAGGTATTACAGAGCCGCACTAAAATCCTGCCGTCGTTTTCCATTATAATTTGACACTAATATTCCTAGCCAATATTTCAAACTTTTAATTTAATTGCACCTTAAAACAGATCAAAGCATGACACCACATTTGGTAGTCAGCGGGTTTGAATGGGGGGCCTTATACTTGGACCATGAATCAAAACTTAAATCGTGACTTCGGCATTAAAATATAATACTGTTGCCACTTGTAGCTGACAACAGTGTTGTATTTTCACGCCGAAGTCACGATTTGAGTTTTGATCTATTTCACGCTTTTTTGCTTTACTTATGGCAAATTATAAAGGAGGGTCAGAGCGGCTCCGGGATTCTGACGCCGGTACTCGATTTTGATTTAGCTTCAACCATGGTAGAAGAATACAGGTAGATGCATCGACCTTTGAGAACATTTGTATGCCAAAATTTTTTAAATCTTCTTTCAAATATAAATACATTTTTATACGTTTTCTTATACGACGTCATTCGGAGGTTATAATAATTCAAGTTTTTTAACAATTTTTACAAATTTAAAAAAATTTTTATTCAACATTTTCATTCCCAAAATTGGTTTGACAGTTCATTGTCCCAGCATTCGATTCGTCTACCTCTATTCTTCTACCATGGCTTCAACAAAGCAAGAGATTTAACTTAGTTTTAAGGTGAGGGTACATAAGCAGCATGGCGTCATTGGTAGATACATTAATGTCCAATTATAAGGGGAAACAACGGCAGAATTCAAGTGCGGCTCTGGATTCCCTTTATGATATGTCACCAAAAATGCCACGCAAAGACTTCAAGCTGTTTATGTACCCTCACCTTTACTCTTAAGAGCTCGTATACGCAATGGCATAACCAATAGGTACTCGATTTGCTGCAGCTGACCACCTAGTCGAGTTGTCAAAATACTTATTGTGATTAGAATGACAGTATGAAAGGTATACAAAAAGCAGCAAAACATAAACAAATTTTGAAATTTCGTCTGATCTCTTGAAA